GTGATGTATAACTTCTCCTGTCACACAAATCTAACATGACAGGGCCTTGGTTTTAAAAAAATGAAAAGAACTGTCTTTGGAGGGAAAGAACTGTCTAGATTGTCCTACCAGAATCCAGTGGGAGTAGGTATCACCACCTAATTTTGGAAAATGACTTTATGGTTCCCATCATTTTCTGAATCACTGAGAATTCTTCTGAATATGGAGACTGTGGAATCAATCTCACTCCCCTGTCATATGTGAGCTCAGCTAGGTTGGAGGGAAGAACCAAGTCACCATAGCAGGTAGAAGTAGTGTTGTGACCAGTGTTTCCAGTCTTAGGAGGATGAGGAAGTTGGGACTTGCTTGAAGCAGTGGTGAGAGACCTTGGCCTTTCCAGCACAATGCTGGAGTCTGGGTCCTGAGTTGCCTGCGGTGCCTTGTGGCCCTCCATCCTATCTATTGTGTGTGGGTCTGCAAAGATGAGCAGGTCCCTGTTATCCTGTCCTGTACCTCTGAGTAACCTGACCCATCCTGGAGCCCTTGATTCTCTCCCCAGTTGATGTGATGGTTGGGGGTAGTAGCTTCCCTGCAGCTGAAGCTGTGATTCTTGGTGTCCCTGCTCCTTCCAAACTTCTCAGGATAAAATTGATGGTCCTGAATTATATAACAATGTGGAAGAAGGGTCTTGAATGCATAACCTGATCCCAAACGTGTGCTATTTAGGGTTCTAGCAAATCCCTAAATTTACAGAGAGCTCACATTTCACAACTCACTGCAGTGGTGGTGCACTTGCAGTTGAGTTTTGATTGACTGGGATGAGATTGGAAAGTTATCAAAGGTTTATGAACATAATTGATGTTCTCTGTGGCATGTGCCTAGACACCATTTCAAAACTGAATTGAAGTTTGAGGCAAACCATTAACTTAGAGGTTCAGTTTCAGGACAACCCCAACTACAGAGTGTGCAGATGCCTCAAGGCCAGGCAAAGGACTGTTTTTTCAAGAGTAGTAAAGAGGAGCAAAAAGTAGTAAAAATGAACTTGAGAGGTTATGGGTAAAAGAGAGGCCCAAATTTGCTCCTGGACCAGAGATCCTTACCTTTGAGACTGTGTTTCCTGTGTCGTTGAAGGACGGGTTGATATAGTGGCTCAGGCTGAGGGTGATCAGAGACTGACTGGAAAAAGCAGAGAATTTCATTAGGATAGTTTGTATATTTAGGGTTGTTTTTCAGCTGACCAAGTAAGATGATGAATTTCAGGTGGGACATGGAAGGATCAAGTATGTGTCGTTCCCTTGTTGGGCATCTAGGTATAATGGGAACCTGAAGGATGGTGGTGTGATGGTCTTAACCACTAGTGTTATCAATATTATTTTGCTTGGGTATATTTTCAGTTTGCATTTTCATTCATAGAATTTGTGACAATTTTGAAAGTTGTGATGGACCTTTGGAAATCAGAGACCTTTAGGATCTCCAGCTGAAAGAAAGGAGTTACTCACTTGAGAGGTTATTTTTTGGGAGTGACATATTTAAAAAAAAACTGTGTTTGCTCTTCATCACAAGTTCTGGCACAGAATTACTAAAACCCTGAGAATATCTTGAACAATTGGAACAACTTTGGTTGTTATCCTTTGCCCCTTTAAGTGGTTCCTGAATATATGCTAGTGAGGTGATACATGATATGATCCCAGATGAACAGTGTGGCCTCAAGCCATGATCCTACTGACTTTAGCCTCCCAAGTAGTTAGGATGACAAGTATGAGGTACTAGGGTCCAACAAATTCTTCCTTGTGTATCATGTATTATAATCATCTTTTACTTTGCAAATTAAATAGCCACTTTTTGGAAAGTTATTGTTTAGTTGGTTTAAAATAGGAAGATAACAGTAGGAAGAAACCAATAAAAATAATACAGGCAATCCTATTTTTATATGTTTAATTAACACTTGAATTTGTTTTATTCATTCATTTTTTGTTTGTATCATTTTATTTAGTTTAGTTTTTTCCAGTTCTTGTGGAAACCTATGGTCTTGCTCATGCTGACAAATTGACCTCCCACCATGCTATTCATGTCTTTTCTCAAGGATTCTCTTATTTTCATATTTTAATGTTTTTGCTGAAGTACAAATATTTCATGAGCTCCCATCTTCAAAAATATCCAAAGCAAAAAGACTGGAAGTGTAGCTCAAGTGGTAGAGAATCTGCTTTGCAAATCTAAAACCCTGAATTCAAAACCTTACCCAAACAAAAAAAGGAGAAAAATGCAGAAAATGATGATAGATAATTCAATATGCTCATAAGCCAACTGGATGCAAGTGTTACAGAATTCATTAACAACCAATAAAAACATTTTTATGAACACAATGAATTTTTCCTAAAAAAAAAAACAACCAGAACTCAACAAACTCTGGTTTTCCTGAGAATGTCTTTTGCCAGTATGAAGTTGCATAGTACTTGAAGTCAAGTGAGCCACAGGTAAATGCTGGTGGGTGTTCTTTCCTTTTTAAACGTATAACTGTGGCTGTCATGGGACCATTTTCTCTTCAGTGTTTTGACTTTGATGTGCCTAGTTATTCTGGATTTACATTTCTCTATGAACACATGAAGAATATCTGTGAGGGTCAGAGTCAGTGATAGCTACATTTTGATTGTCTCATAGAGAATGAGTTTTTGCATTTTACATTTTTTTAGTAGAAACTTCAAGGGACTGAATTGAGATGTTCTGTCTGAGAAACATAAGTGTAGAAGCATAGAATTTTCTCATGAGGAGATGGTAGTAAAAGGACACATACATGCACACGAGGTATCTAGATGCCCTGGTAAATGTGAATGAAAAGTGTCTGTACACACATTGCTACAGTAGGTGGATACCACCTTAATTCTTTCCCTACTTTTTCCATCTTGTCTACTAAGCAGTCTTCTTCTATTTTTGACCCTTCAGAATTAGGAAAAATGTTAGACCTATTCCATCTAGAAGCCTTCTGGGTGTTGTCTTTGAGTGTATTTCACAAACTCAATTTCATGTGATATTGAACTGCACTATTTTCACTTTTGTCACAGTGGTCATGGTTTTGGAGTCTTTTCTGGATGTCTTCTCCAGGATGTGAAACATAGTTCTGATTATCATTCATAATATGTCCCATGGTGTCAGAAATAATCTCAGGACTCTATTTCATAACTAGAGTTAAAGAAATGTTGGTGGAGATTGCATCAATTGCCAGTCCATTCAAGCATTACACTTGTCTTATGTATTTGGATTTTGAACACTTATTTTACTCAGCTAATTCCTAAATGTGGGACATAGATCTTGATTCATACATGGTGTCTTATGTTGAAAACAGATGTATATTTTTCAATCATGCTCTCATTCATTAGTGTATGCAGTACACTAATCCTTTTATTTTGCTTACATTGCAGGTATTTATTCTCATTGTTTTTCTTTTGCCACTCTAATACATTAACATTCCACATGAATTTTGTATGTTCCTTGGGTAGTGAATTTCCAAATGCTCTTCTTTTTGTGTTATTTTCACACAGAGACTTCATACATAGCTCTTGAACTAGAGATGCATGCCAGGATCACACTGAACATATGCTTAGTCCTACCTTAGTTTTGTAAATGCTGGGAATGACACATATGTGACACCATAACTTCAAAAATATTCAGATTTTATCTTTCCTATTTCTAATGAATTGGATCATTGTCCATGCCATTGGAGAATACAATTTGTGTTTTCAAGGAGAAACTGGGTTCCAGATTTTGTGCTCTCAGGCACCATTGTGTGATGTGTCTTCTGTCATGAATCAATTTTCTCTTACTTTAAAGTCAAGGGAAGACTGGTGCCCTTTCCTCTGAGGCCTGTTTGTTAATCTTTGTTATAGTACAGTGTTCTTGATAATGCAGTTTGAACATTGTTTAATTTTACACAATAGGACACTTTGTGTTCTTTCCCTTGCTCTCTCCCATTCTTCTTCATTATTATTCTTCCTTTATTGACAGTGGTTCTTGTTATGTAGATCACTTCAATGTTTAACTTGTGGTCCTTCTGGTGGAATTACAAGATAGACCTGCACATGTGGTTCAAGTGATCACTTTCTTATTCCAATTATTTTTAATTCCTGTTTGCAATTTATGAGAATTATTACACTTTAAAAGTAGTTTTGTTTATGAGTTTTAAGGTGTATTTTAGAAATTGCAAAATTGTATACAGCTAGTTGAAATCTATTTGAAGGCATGCATGCTGCATTTTTTTCTTTCTACATTGTTTTTGCTTGCTAAAGCAAAAATTGTAACTATGTGAATGATCCTTCATGAGTCTTACTTAGCTATAAATTTGGGTTGGTTTGTTCTAAACCAGGTAGAAGTTTCCCAATGTTCTCTCTTGATACAGTCACCAAGGTGGTGCTCAATTCCCAAAAGAATTAAAAAATTGTTTTGGAAAGAGATAATAAATACTGTTTGTCACACCAGCTTCCTATTTATAACCATGAGTGCATTGTGGGTTTTCTTACTACAGACTCCCTGTGGTGAACCTTGCAGAAATGTGCAAATAATCATAAGTAGTATATATACAATAGGATGTTATTGGAATAAATTTCTTCAGGACACTCTCCCCTTTTTACACTTTATATTTGGTTTAGTGAGGTTCATCTCATTAGCAGTTATGGCATGCCAATAGACATAAAACTTTTACTCATGTAGTGAAAACATTATTCTATTTGCCCCTGATATTCCAATGGGAAATAAGAAGAAGGAATTTATTAGTAGATTTGTACAATCTCAGTGTATAACATGTGTTTTTGTGACCATGTTCTGCTTTGAATTTAGCAAATAGGTCCAGGGATATGTCAGAGTTACTGTGAAGTGCTTGTGAGTATAGATGTAGACTGAGAGTGATAAAAATAAAATGCATTGAATATGTGGAGACCACATCAGCATGTGAATATTTTGCACAGGGATTGTCTGTTTCCACTCCTTTGACACTCACAATTCTTCTCACGAATGTGCATGTGACATATTAGGAGACTCTGACCTTTGAGGATGTTGCCGTGACCTTCACCCTTGAAGAATGGAGCTGTTTGGATCTTTCCCAAAAGAAGCTCTACAGAGAAGTGATGCTAGAAACCTATAGAAACCTGTCCTACATAGGTAAGTATGGTGTCATTACCTTAATCAAAGTGTGCACTACTGTTGTGGCTCATTGGTGTTGTTGCCTCATGGGGTATTTAAAAAGGGACAGTAATTGTTCATATATATGCATGATCATATTATATCATGAAAATAGCTGAGGTCTCAACTTTTTCTTTCATATGGATTAAATACTAATAATTTCTCTGTGTCTGTATCTTACAAACAAAAGAAGAAAATGAAAACATTGAAAAGGACTTCAGGAATCCCAGAAGAAATGTGAGGTAATTTTTCCTCATAACGAAAACCGTGAATATCTGATGTGGCATTGACAAGAAGTTGGAATACCAAAAAAATGAGACTAAAACTTCTACTTATAAATAGCTTAAATCAATTAAAAGTTTCTCTAAGATTGGAAAAATAATTTAGGCATCCAGAATCAGAAAATTCAAAGTTTGATATGTGCCATTTTTCATGATGTTTTTTCCTAAGAAGTCACAAAAGACACTGTCCTTTTGCTCAATATACAAAAATAATCCCACTCTGTGCACAAATTAATTTAACTATATTGTATCAAATTCCATCACAATGGGACTATTATGTGCATTGGTATAGACTGACATATTTTTCAACCTTTGTCCTTGTATTCATTCTTTTATTTTGCAATCCAACATGCTTTTTATCCAAGGCATCTCAATAAGCTCTTTAAGTGTATATGAATGTAGCAAAATTCATTCAGTGTTGTTAAACACCTAACTTGGAAGTAGTATGATGGAAACACATTGTGAACGCCACTGTTTGGTAGTAGCTGTCCTCAGACCCTGCTGCAGAACATGTTGTTCATTTGTGTTCATAAATCCTCACAGTATCAAGCACCATAACATGTCCTCATAAATCTTTAATAGGGTAACAATAGTAATCTTTGTCTGTTTTACAGCCCTGAAGTATTGGCAAGACTGCATGAACATAAACAATGTATTCAATGTGGAGAATCCCTTCAACAGACTCCAGAGAACATTGTAAGCAAGGCTACTCTGCTTAGATCAGCACCATGTAAAAGCAATATATGTGATGCTTATGGGAAAACCTTTACTGATGGCTTGGCTCTTCTAATCCATGAAAGGTTACACAATGTAGTGAAGTCTCATGGAAGGAAACAAATTGCTAAAGTCTTCACTCCATCTGGTACCATTCACATTCATGAAACTTCTCACATTAGTAAGAAACCATATCGATGTAAACAATGTAATAAAGCCTACACTCCTTCCAGTAACCTTCATGTTAATGAAAGAATTCACAGTGGAGAAAAACCCTACAAAGGTAAGCACTGTGGGAAAGTGTATACTCAAGCCAATAACCTTCAAAGACATGAAAGAACTCACACTGGAGAAAAACCCTATGGATTCAATGAATGTGGGAAAGCCTATGCTGATTCAAGTACCCTTTATATTCATGAAAGAATTCACACTGGAGAGAAACCCTATGAATGTAAGCTGTATGATAAAGCCTACATTTTTTCCAGTTCCCTTCATAGTAATGAAAGAACTCACACTGGAGAGAAACTATATGGATGTAACAAATGTGGGAAATTCTTCAGTCGTGTGAGTAACCTTCGAGATCATGTAAAAATTCACAGTGGAGAAAAACCATATGGATGTAAACAATGTGGGGAAGTCTTTGCTCAGGCCCGTTACCTTCGAGTACATGAAAGAACTCACACTGGAGAAAAACCCTACGGATTCAACGAATTTGGGAAAACCTACACTGATCCAATTCACACTGGAGAGAAACCTTATGGATGTAAGCAATGTGGGAAAGCCTACACTGATTCAAGTGCCCTTCGATAACATGAAAGAAGTCACACTGAAGAGAAACCCTATGAATGTAAGCAATGTGGCAAAGCCTACACTTTTTCCAGTACCCTTCGTATTCATAAAAGAACTCACACTGGAGAGAAACGCCATGGATGTAAGTAATGTGAGAAAGTGTACACTGATTCTGGTACCCCTTGTGTTCATGAAAGAACTCACACTGGAGAGAAACCCTATGAATGTAAACAATGTGGGAAAGCCTTCACTCAGCACACTCACCTTCATGCACTTAGAAGAACTCACATAGAAGTGAAACCTTATAGATAAATACAATGTGAGGATGTGTTCACTTATTCCGGTCACCTTTGATCCCTGAAAGAACTCATACTGAAGACAAACCTTATGGATATAAGCAAGGTGGCCAAAGTGTTCACATGCCCCATTGCCCTTAAAAGACATAAATGTACTTAGACTAGAGAAAAAAGCTATGGATATGAGCAATTTTCAGTGACACTAGTAAATGTAAACTCACTCATTAGTAAATGTAAGGAATGAGAGAAAGCCTACACTCTATCCAGTATCTGTCATACTCATCAAAGAACACAAACAAGACAAACCCAGTGGTTGCAAGCAATGTGGAAAACCTTCCTTAGTTCTAGTACCCTTCATGACCTGAAAGAACTCATGATGTAAGTAAACACTAGGGTCATGTCAAACATGATAAAATGTTCACAAATCCCAGTCTTCTTGAACAATATGAATGAACTCAGAAACACTGTCAATGTAAGTAAGGTAGAAATGCCTTCACCTTTTGCAGTAATCTTTGACATGACACAATTCACATTGTAGCACAGTGCTATACATGTGTGTCATGTGGCTAACTCCTCACACATTCCAGTGCTCCTTCAAAACATAAAAAGTTAAAATGGAGAATATTGTATTAGGAAAGTCTTCACTTATTTCCATGATCTCAAACATGAAAGTCCTCACACTAGAGAGAAAATCTGTAGGAGTAAGAAATCAACCTATCTATACTGATCCTATTCACCATGAAACAAGTGAAATAATACTATGTGTGACAAACCTTACAGAAGCAATATATACGGGAATATCTTCTCTCATTCCCATTGCCAAAAAAGTACATGTAAGATATCACACTGGAGTGATATGAATGAACACAGAAACACTATCAATGTAAGTAAAGTAGGAATGGCTTTACCTTGCAGTAATCTTTCCCATGACATAATTCACATGGTAGCACAATGCTCTATATTTGTGTAATGTAGCTAAGTCTTCACACGTTCCAGTGCTCCTTTAAAACATACAAAATTAAAATGTGTATTGAAGTGCTGAGGGAAAGCATTTATTTATCCTGCTTCCATTTTCAACATGAAGGAACTCCATTCTTGCACTCATGATACTGCCCAGTTTATTTAAATTTTGTTAGCAAAAGCATGCCATGTCACCTGCTTTCCTACAGAGATATGATTAAACATGGTATGAAGAGAAAACTTGATTCATGGCTCATTGCTGGCAGGGAAGGAACTCTCCTCCAAGCCTCCAGTCCATTTTCTCCTAGTTATGTCAGTGCTAGGGTCTGTGAACTGTTTGCACAGGCTGACCTCCAACCATGATCCTCCTGTCTCACCCTCTCATGTACTAGGATTATAGGCCCAAGCCACTGGCAATTGGCTTAAACATTCTTAGAGATCTGTGGGATGTGTATATCTAAATTTTTTCTCAAGAAACAGTCTTTATGCTTCTTATTCTGCTGCCAGGCTATAATGACAGCCACATCAATATACTTGCTTAATTGGTGTAAAGAGTGGCTTGAGTATGTCTTTTCTGTGGGACTGGAATTTGGTCTCAGGGCCTCATGCTTGCTAAGCAGATTTTCTATCACTTCAGCCCCTTTGCCAGCATTTGTATGTTTTTTTTTTTATTTTATTGTGACTTTACATTGAGAAGGACTTCTATAACTGGATATGTATCATAGAAATTTTGAACTTAGGATGTTCCAACCTCTGTTTTCCAAATGCTGGGTTATGAAACATATGAAATAATACTTGTGAAAGTGTTCAGATTTTATCTTTCTTTTTTGCCATTGCAATTTGCATATTGTCCAAGACATAAACGTGAATAGAAAGCATTTTTTCGAGTAGAAACTGGATTTGTCCTTTTCACTTTTAGATGTTTGTTGTTTTGGCCATCATTGCGTGATACCTGTTCTCTCAAGAGTCAATTTTCTCTTCACATTTAAATACAGTGAAGACTTATTTGTTTTCCACTGAGATCTGTTTGTTAATTTCTTTATTATTATATGGCATGTTTAATAGTATTGTTACACGATTGCTTATTAATATAAGATGATAGCTCACTTTGTATTCTTTTCTTTCTCTTACCCTTTCTTTGTTTCATTATTTTTTCAAGATTATTGCTGTTTAGACCTGTGTAAACTTTAGTCCATAATCCTGATAGAAGTACAATTTGGGTCTTCTTTTGTGACTAAAGGATTAGTTTCTTCCATTCTTGTTTGTTTGTTTGTTTTTGCTGGCCATGGGGTTGAACTCAGACCTTTTTGTTGGGGCACAGATAGTGTACCATATGAGCCACCCCAGCAGCCTTTGTGTGTGTGTGTTAACTATTTTTAAGAAAAGGTCCCTCAAAGTATTTGCCCAAGCTAGCTTCAAGACATAATGCTACTGATTGCTCTCCTTCACCATCTAGGATTAAGGTGTGAGCTCTTGGTGCCAAGGTCTGGTGATTTCCTTATTTTTCCACTGAATTCAAATGCCTTAAGGCATTTATTCTACCTAGTATACTTGTAAAGTGGATTTTGTTACATCCTTTACAATGTGTGCCTGGAAGTAGAGAATTGTAAACATAGCTGAGAATCAGGACAACTCAGAGTAAACACAGTTAGTTATGCACACAAATCACCCCTTACCTCTGATAGGCAAACACAAGAAATAGGACAACAAAAGGTAGCTAAATTAAGATGCTCTCAGAAACTGCTAAGAGGAATATGGAAGAATAACAGCAAACAGCACATGTGGTTACACTTCTACACAAGATACAGGGCGTATAAGGATAGTGATAGGGATATTTGATGCCACATCTGGGTAAAAGAATTCATCAAGAAAAGAAAATAGGATAAGCAAGAGTTTTACGTGGGAAGAACTGGGCAACTGAACACAGGGTAGTCGTACTGATCTGATATGAGATTTGGGCAAGTTTGTTTATGTAATGCAAAAAAAAATCAAAGATTCAACCTCTAGGAAGAGGGTGGGAAGACTAAATTGAAATATTGCACTGGGTGTCCTGAGAACTCAAGCGTTTATTGTGGTCTGTACAGATGGGGATGGTCATGCCTGGAAAACTGTTCTGTGTGTGATTAACTCTCATAGTGTGAGCTAGATGCTGGTGGTTCAAGCTTGCAATTCTTATTATTAAGGTAAGTATTGGGCAGCCACCTGAGGATTGGGCCCTTCCTCATCACAGTTGGCTTACTGAAAACTCTAAACTCATCCCTAAAGAATAACGGGTACACACCTTTAGCCAATTACTAGAAGTTTCCCACACAGCCTCAAAGAAAGACACCATTATCTCAGGAGTGGCAGAGGGCTGAGGGAGGATATTCCTGTCCATTGACCTTCCTGGGAGCTCGCCCTGGGACTTCCTTTTTTCTTGGACTTCTCCTACTAACTGTCTATATCTGTCCCAAATCTGCAACCAGTTGTGGGCTTCTGCTCTCTTGCTGGGATCTGCCTCCAAAGAATTCTCCCAATAAAGCATGTGCTGAGGTATTGAGCCATTCCTGTGCTTCTTTCAATCTAGTGCCTCTGTTTCCTCATCTATCTCCACATACATTTCAGTCCAGCATGCCTTTTTTCCTGTTAACAGTAGGTACTCAGGAGGCAGAGATCAGGGTGATTACAGTTTTAAAGTTAGCCTGGATTATTAGTTCCTGAGGCCACAAGTTCAAATCCCAGTATGCAAAAAAATACCTCTCATAACTTTTATTTATGTCATCAACACATCCTCAATGCTGGGTTGGAGGACATACTAGCTTGGATGGTCAGGCTGAGACTGAGGGTCCTGGGGTTTCAGGTCTGCAAGATTTCTGTATCACAGGTATTTGTTAGTATTACATCTCTAGTCTAGAATGTGCTTCCTCAACAGACAAGCCATGGTTCTCAGCCATCAGTTTTCCTAAATCCTTCATTAGTCCTCATCAGAGACTTCCTGCTTCTTAGCCAAGACAGGCTCACCACAGCAGCCATAATTCCATCCTTTTTGCTGTCCAATGAAAGAGAAGGGGAGTCTACTCTCATTTTTGGTCTGTAACTGAGTATGTGCCTTTTTACATGGGTTTTCCAGCAAATCTTTAGTGGGATTAAAAAGGTTTTTGCACATATTATTTTGGTAATGCTTCATCCATTTTCTTACACTGAGTGTGTAAACATTTTAAAAGGCATTCAGAAGTCAAGAAGACCTGATTAAATGAGGAGAAAGGCTAATCTGTGCCATTACTTGAAATTATTAATTTCTTAAAAATAGTTTATGATATCATAACTGAGTTCAGTATAATTTTGGTGACATAGGAATGAATTGCACATTTCCTTTTATTCAGTTGAAAAGGAATCTATTGCCAACTTAAGTTGACTTAACTCACTACTTCTCTGACCTGATTAACATAAGAGAAATAACAGCACACTGAAACAAGACATCTAATATTGACATAGATTTCATTTGTTCTCTGAATATCGTATTAACACCAAAGTTATCCAGATACCAACAGAGAAATAAAAAATGAAAAGGGCACTTAAATGCTTATTCTTAGGCTCACAGAGACCTCTTTCAGCTACTCATGAAGGTAGCAATTGTCTTAAGGCAGCTATGGATAGAGACTGCCCAGGGAGCTACACTGAGATTAATGGGGAAGCTATGGTGAAAATTTACTCCTGGGGCACAGGTGTGATCAGGCTGTCTCTCTGTGGCTGTCATAGTCTTTGACCAGCTGCTCTCCAATTTGTTGAAGGGAAGGGGCAGTGAGGGTAATACATGTTCATCACTATGACCAAAATTGAGTCACATACTTCTTTAGAATTCTGCATATAAGGATATAAAAAGGATACATCACTAAACACAGAAAAAAGATTAGAAACTTAATATCAACACTTCTGGCCTCCACAATGCACAATGCATTGTCCATACTAAATGGACATTCATTGTGTCTGAACTGATGGCAAGAGAGGCACTCCAGAAAAACACTAACTTCCTTCACCAGAAATCCATAAGAAGAAAGGCTAGAAAACTAAAGTGTCAGTAAAGAAAGGCTGTCTGTAGAGAGTAGTCAAGTTTGAAAGCCAAAATGTCCTTGGGGCTGGCTTTTGCAGAATCTACAAGTTTGTTAGTATGACCTACAAAAAATGCTAGGATGTCCCAATGACATTCAGAAGAATCCTTCCAACTTTTGATACTGGTTCCTTGGTGGGAGATATTTTCCATTTTGAAATTTCAAATTTTTCCACAAGTACTGCCTTGGATAATAATCTACTTTCCCAAGTCATCACTGTTTAAATTTCTACAACCAAAACTTCAAGGGGAAGTGGCAAATGCACCTCCTAGGTTATCATGATGAAAAAAAAAAATAAAAAAAATAAAAGAAACAAACAAACACTAACAGAAAAAAAAAAAAAAAAAAAAATAAAAAAACAAATACAAAAAAAGTAAAAATTATAGAATAAAAAGAAACTAACAAACTCAAAAAAAAAAAAAAATAAAAAACAAAATATAACAAGAAGAAAAATGTAAAAAAAAAAAAGTAATTTAAATAAAATATAAAAAAAACATAAATAAAAAAAAAAAAATAAAAAAGAAAAAAAAACCACTAAAAATCATAAAACAAAAAAAAAAAGAAAAAAAACAAAAAAATGACACCCAAAAACTAAACAAAACAAAAACACAGAAACAAAAAAGGACAATATACAAAAAAAAAGAATAATAACCAATAAAAAGATATAAATAAAAAAAAAAAAAAAAAAAAACACTATAGAAAAAAAGATATTAAAAAACAAAACACTAGACAAATAAGAACTAAGAAAAATAAATAAAAAAAGAACAGAAAAAAATAAACAAGAAAGAAACTCATGAAATAATAAACCACCCACCCAACACTGATACAGAGAACCACATGTTATGATATGTTTCAATCTAGTCACAGGAGGTAGGGAAGTGATATTTAGCTCTGCAAATCATGTCCATTCTGGAAGTGCATCCATTGCTCCTTTTTTCTACAGCAAATACAAAACCTCAATTTTAATTTCCCAAAATTGACAAGGCATCAGACCACTTTCTTAAGGCCACCTGACCTTAACGTTCATTCTATAAAACAAATGAGAAACAATCTGAGAAAAGTCACAGCTATGTGTATGTGTGGGGGGGTGGGGAATAAGTCTCCATTCCACTCCAAAAGCAACCATGTGTGAATGTGAATGTCTATTTCTGAAGGTTCTGGCATTAGGGTAATACTTGGAAATTCATAGATTTAGTGGCAGCACCTGCATCACCACACAGATGGGAAGTCTCAGGTTTAGGTGTGGATCTTCCCAGAGAGACTATGGGCCAGGATGAAGTCACCTCTCACAGGTATAAGACAGGATAGGACAATGTTCCTGACTCCCTGCCTGGCCCCTTCCCCTGCAGGATTCATGGCACCAAACAGTGAGTGCTATCAAAAGTGGGATCAGATTGCACATTGACAAGATGACTGTGCTCCTCTTTGTCCAACTAAAGAGCCTGGCCATGGATGTCTACTATGCTTGTATAAGATCACTTCTTTAAAACCTCTTGGCTTTAGTAAGTTCTTGAGGTCTGGCTCAAGTAACTCCATCTGGATTGTGAAGCTTTCCCCTCTTGTCTCCAAACTGTCTGTGAAGAGCCTCCTCTGACTTTTTCCCTTTAACTTTTCCCCCAAAATACATACTCAATACCCTTCTATATCCTTCCTACTTACTGAATTGTTGACTTTGTAACTTGTAATTTTAAAATGACTTATAAGAATTTTAAATTTAAATAAAATTGTTTTTCCAATTACCCTTATATTTTTACTATACAGACCCACGAAGAAAGGTAATTTAAAACTATTTATCTGTAAGTAACATAGACACTTTTTTGTTAATATATCTAGCTATAAGAGAATTGAATGTAAATTACAC